TGTTGGGTTGTGATCATTGTTTATGCTTTGCCTTACCTGCCTTATCTGTTGTGAACTGCATATGCTCGTTATAACTATTGCTTGTGTCTGGCCTTATCTGTCGAGTCATCCCCGGTTTTAAAGCTAGAGTTCGTAGGATATATCTTCATGCTCAAAATGGTTTTCGTATATCTATATATATCTCTATATGTATTGTATTTCAACGCGTTGGAGTGGGTTACCAGCATCTCTCACTGAACAGATATATTTGGCTTTCAGGCACAGAAGATTAAGTCACTGGAGTGCGCTAGAACTTAGAAGTAGATAGTTTCCCTTTTGGCCTACGTGCCACGTTTACGTATTTACGCTTTGAGGATATTAGTTAGTTAGCCTGTGCACTTGGGTTCTCTAGCCCAGGTGTGGCATAGCACCCCGAACGCTTGTATTTATATCTTGGGATTTAATAAGATTCTACCTTTATTATAAGTTTTAAATGTGTTGAAAATCTGGGGTGTTACAGTTGGTATCAGAGCTTAAGTTTGACCCTAGGATGAGACTCTTAAGGCCGAACTTTAGGACACTAGGCTTGAACTCTAGGTACTTAGGAACGTAGGATCCAGGAATCTTAGGACGCGCAGTGAGATAGTGAAACATACACATAACCTCCCCTCACTTCATCCCTCTCTAACTTAAAGGAACCTCCCCCTACGCTTACCACACCAGGTAAGGGTGCGAATAGATATGTTTACTTCCACAACTGGGTAACGTACACTTACCCGATAAATCGCCTCGTCCTAACTCCCGTCAGAAGACTTGACAAGGACCCTGACCAAAGAAAAGGAAGATTTGGATGACTACTAAGAAGAGGCGTTACAGTCAGGACTGCTAAAAGGGACGGACTGCAATACGCACCAACCCGGGGTAAACACGATAACCCCCGAGTCAGACAAATGACATACACCTTCCGACAAGTTGCCTTATCTCGGCAAACCCGGGTTGCGGCTACAACAAACAGGAAGGAGAACTAGGACACCTATTAAAGTAGCGAAGGAACGATACCATTAGTCGAATCCTTGGGTGCAAGGTAAGTATATCGCGACACCTTGCGACCCCACCACCCCAACTTAAAATATCATCCGCCCTGAAACCCCAGCATCTTGATACCCCTATTTGTTGAAAACTCCCACCCCGAATCCTTAATTACCTTAAGAGCAAATTCGCAACCGTCATGACCTTGCTCACCCTTTGTTGCGCTTAACCCAAACCCTCGGAAACCCTAAATTGTCATTGCCCTTACTCTAAGTTCATATCCCCACTCCGTTTGGAAACCCTGTTAAAAACCGTAGAGTAGCATAAGGCCCTTACCCTGCCCAGGGGCGTGAAGAACCGACATTCATTGATTCAATATTAAAATAAGTTGTTAGATAGGAATCGGCGAAGTAGGTGGAGGTTACGAATACATATCACCCCACCCTTACACGAAAACCGTGAAGGCTTCACGAGAAACCATAGCCTATACGTACGCCACCGAAGAACGCCATGCGTTGACAAGAGCGGGCAAACAAATACGTTCAATGTGTCAGGGGACCTCGCTACAGAGAACATCGTCAAATAGGTGCAACAGGCCGAACCTCAAGGAGGACATAAAGCCTTGCTAAGAATTTCATCCACCAAGGAAGGGATGAAACCCAATAGAACAAGAAAGACTAACCCGAAACCCCCGTTACCCTTTAGAACCCTCGGCAAGGATTAGGAGTCAAGACCTAGGGGTTTGACCCACTAAACCGACTGGGTCTAGACTTCTGGACATCCGAGGGGAACGTGCACGGAAACCATCACGAGAATTCCCCTGGAAGCCATAGAGACGAAGGGGACTTCGACACAGGAAGAGAAGATCAAACGAAAATCTTAGAATCAAACAAAGCCAAGGAAAAGGGATCACCAGTTTCACTGCACGCCACAACCAAGCCCCAAACAGGCATAATCACTCGAAGCCAAGAGTCCTTAGCCCCTTTCCCTCCCCTTGCCAATCAAGTACCATTTTGTTAAAGAATCCGTCCTATCACTCCAAACCTCGCTCTTGATCCCTCATTACAGACAAACCCGTACAAGGTGGCAACCTTCCTTCCTATATTACGACCTTGAGACATCGACCCTATCCGCCCCTCGACTTTGAAACCTAGCCCTTGCACTTCTTACACCCCTTTAAACCCAGACCAAGAAAACATAGATATATATATGTATGTATATCTACCTCTAGAACTCGTGCTTAAGGATCAATGAACATTGTACGATGGGTCATCCTATGTATCCAAGTCCCTTTTATTGTGCACAAGGGCATGGGACTTGTCAGGACATGAATATGTGCATTTTTGGGGTCTTTCCCCAAGGAATTGACTATTCCTAGTCACTTTCCCGCGGGTCCCCAACGGGTCCTTGACGGGACCATTGGCGGGTCCTTGGCAGGAGCTTGGCAGGCGGACGACCGCCCACCTCGCGCCCACTGGTACAATATGCTGATTTCTTAACCCCTCATTTTATTGATTTGTGGCGCACTTGTGTGCCTCGATTGAGGAATGTGAGTCTTGGGTAAGGAACCATGGACCACCCAAACATAGTGTCCTACGAAAAAGACCTTGACGCACGAGACACCATCGGGAAATCACAATCAATTACATTGCACGAGTAATTGAAATCGGATCCTACGATACAACCGACTAGGGATGTTTGGCGTAAAGGATTGCGCAAACCAAGGAGGCGAGTTGGGAACTCGTACTAAGAACCCACGAAAACCTTAAAATATAAAATGCTAAGGAGGGACCGGGACTCCTCCAAACCATGGACATCGTTCGAGCAAATCAGAGGACTCCTTACAAGTTGTATGGAATCAAGAACTACGTAGCCCATGGTGCTAAGCAAAAGGGTGAAGAACACATTCGCGCCAAGACTTCAAGGGTCATTAAGGACCCACAAGGAAATGAGGTGACTCGTAAAGTCGCTGAGTCATCCCACAACGAGAATTGGTAACCGACTGCGCTTTAAAAGAAAAAGGGCACGCAAGGACACCTTCATCATTAAAAATAACACAAACAGGGCACAACAGTGCCGAACCTCGGGTAAGACATGAAGTCTTACTAAGAATTTCATCCACTAAAGAGGAGACGAAATTCAATAAGAAGAGAAATTCAACCCAAAGTCCATCGACTCCCAAGAGACTTTGGGAAGAATTTGGGAAGTGCGCCCTAAGAGATTGGCTTGGTTGACCCAACTCGGTCAACACCTTGGGCGCATTAAAGAAGTAAGTGTTGAATCACCACGGGAAATTCCCTCAAGAAAGAAGAGAAGGATGAAACCTTAGCCTGGGAAGCAAGGTCTAACAAGGATCTTAAAGTCAAGCAAGCACCAACACCAAGGATGGAGGATCATCGGCTCGTCGGCGCATCGTGATCAAAGCATCTAACCAGATTATTCACTTGGGATCGAGAAACCTTAACCCATCCTAGCCGAATTCCTTTCCCTCCCTCGGAAAATCGGCCCCTTCCTTATTTCAAAACCCTTTCTACCCTTCAGACCCCATTCTCAATCCCATGTTTTAACGATTCCATACAAGTGGCAACCCCACAACCTAAGTTGGAACCTCGAAAACTTGATCCTAATTCCTGATTTCACCGTGTCCTCAAGTTTGAAACCCACTCTCTTAGCCCTGTAAACCTAATCGTTCCCAAAAACCCAACACACATAGGCGTGCAAGTATACAATTTCCCCGTGGAATACCTTCTCTATAGGACCACGGTTCTTCTCTTGACTCGTTAACCCTGCAATGATTTCCAAGCTTCGGGGACGAAGCTTCTCGTAAGGGGGGGAGAGTGTAACACCCCGTGTTACGGCCTTCAATCCCGGATTAATTATTTAATTAATCCCGCTAATAATAATTAAATATGATTTAATTATGTTAGGTTTACCTTTAATTAATTAGTAAGGTCCACCATGAACCGTGGGCCCTTGCCCGAATAAGAATCTTAAGCCTGTTAGGAATAAAGGAAGTAGGCCTTTTACTATTCAGATTATGATTAGGATCCTCTTTAATTAATATGGTCCACTATGGACCATGGACCCTTACCCTAAAACAAGCCCTAGCCATATAAGGAATAGAACTAGTAAACCCATACCATTCAGGCCCTAACTAGGAGTCTTAAATATATAAATAGGGAACTTAGGAGGCACCTAGAATCCCCCACCACAATAATCTCTCACCACCCAAAGAGTTCCAAGAATCCCCTTAGGAGAAATCAAGAAAGCTTAAAGAAAGATCCTTCATAGCCAAGGAATTAATTAAGGCTAAGAGGTAACCCATGTCTCAACAAAACCTATTTTCATAGCTATGATTCCCCCTTAGGGTTTCCCCCATATTATTGTGTATTGGCGTGATATGATGATGATTATTGATGTTTGACGTGATGATCCCATGAGGGATCTTGATAATCTTGATATTGGGAGATTCTTGATGATTATATGGAGTTCTTGATGATTATGTGTTGTTCTTGATAATTGTGTGATGCTCTTAATGTTTATGTGCTATTCTTACCGAATCCTGCAATTAGAAGATGAACCGTATTCTTGTTGATATAAAAGTGATTAGAACCCTAGGTTGTATCGTATGATCTTATTCTTGGATTATCGGGTGGGGAAATCGCATGTTTGGGTGTTGATTATATTTAGAAAAGCATGATAGGTTATGTGCCGTTTGTTTCTTGTATTTGATTCGTTAATTGTCTACGTGTTGTCGTTAATTGCATTGTAAAGTGTCTAAGCATGGTTTTGGGTTCCACAACGGTTCCCGGGGCGTAAAGTGTGTGAAAAGAGTCAGTGGGGGGGTAGGTGCGGGGTAGGGGACCCGCCACCTACCCACGGCCGTGAAACACCGCCCGACAGCGGGTAGCCGACGGGCGGGCAGCTGCCCGCCGGCGACCCGCTGCCCGGAACAGTAAAGACCGGCGGGTGGCCCCCCACCCACCGGCTACCCGCTGGAAATTATCCCACCTTGGGACCCCGGCTTCCCCGTTTGATGTTCCCCCGTTCTCCGTGGTGTCCCAGCGGACCCCGTTTATCGTGCCTATGTCTAGTTTGATGTTTCGGGTACCGTTCGTAGGTTTATGAGTCTATTATATTGCATGCTAGTTGAATTGGTATCCCGGTGACCTAGGTGGAAGGAGTATGAACCCCTTAGGACTATTCTTAATATGTGATGGATCACGCATAGGTTTTGTTATGCGCTTTCTCCCCCTTCCCAATGTGTAATATGGGTTGCATGTGCTTGCTATGTGTTATGTGTGTGTGTTACCCCAATTCGGTTGCGATCGGATTGGTTATCCTGAGCTGCAGTTCAGAAGCTGGCTGCGGTCAGATTGATACTCTTGGGCTGCGGTCCACCGTTTGGTTGCGATCAAACGTTTCTGTATGAGCTGCGGTTCGTCCTTTTTCCTGGCTGCGGTCAGATGACATTCTCTTTGGCTGCGGTCCACTGTTTGGTTGCGATCAAACACTATGATGAGCTGCCGTTCATCGGTCGGTTGCGATTGACCCCTCCGTGTTGCGATACGGGGCAGGGTGCTGCGGGGCCGTGTCAGAGCTATATGCGCTGACCCTCATGTATGGGCATGCGATTGGTCCTGTGGCGCCAACAAAGTGTGTTATGTGCTGTGACATGGACGAGTTGTGACTACGAGTGTCTTGGGAGATGTGACTATGGGATTTATATTGGGGATTGTTCATGTTGGGTTGTGATTATTGTTATGCTTTGCCTTACCTGCCTTATCTGTTGTGAACTGCATATGCTCGTTATAACTGTTGCTTGTGTCTGGCCTTATCTGTCGAGTCATCCCCGGTTTTAAAGCTAGAGTTCGTAGGATATATCTTCATGCTCAAAATGGTTTTCGTATATCTATATATATCTCTATATGTATTGTATTTCAACGCGTTGGAGTGGGTTACCAGCATCTCTCGCTGAACAGATATATTTGGCTTTCAGGCACAGAAGATTAAGTCACTGGAGTGCGCTAGAACTTAGAAGTAGATAGTTCCCCTTTTGGCCTGCGTGCCACGTTTACGTATTTACGCTTTTAGGATATTAGTTAGTTAGCCTGTGCACTTGGGTTCTCTAGCCTAGGTGTGGCATAGCACCCCGAACTCTTGTATTTATATCTTGGGATTTAATAAGATTCTACCTTTATTATAAGTTTTAAATGTCTTGAAAATCTGGGGTGTTACAGATACGTTTCTACCAGATCGTAGAAGACGGGGGGAAAGTAACGCGGAGTCGTGAAATCCTGGGAAAGTAACGCGGTGACGTGAAACCCGAAGCAGCAGTGTTGGTGACAATGGGCGTGATTAGTGTGGGCTTAGTGAATTGCTCTTGGAGATAAGAGCAAGTGGAGTAGGAGGATTACACCACCTCGCGAAGCACTATAAATTGCCTTGTGTTCTTTACTGCTTTGTTTACTTACTCCTCTTGCTTGCTTCTCACGAGAATAATCTTGACACAATCCTCTTGCTTGCTTCCACTGTGCACCATACTCTAACAATCTAGTTAAGAGTTTTGGTTTATCTCTGGCTTAGCAATTGTGGTACTGTGCTAAAAGTTTGAAAGTCTATTCACCCCCCCCCCCCCCCCTCTAGACTTTCACCTTACCTCTTTTGGGACAAACATCATGCATTCTTCTCCTAGGCCAACGGGTTACCGATTCACTTGCATGCAATTCCTAAGACTCTTTTATCCTACGAATGGCTCCCGAAACATCAAACTAGACTCAAGCATGACAAACGGGGTCCGTTGGGACACCACGGGGAATGGGGAACATCAAACGGGGAAGCCGAGGACCCGGGTGGGTAACGGACCAGCGGGTAGCCGGTGGGTGAGGGTCACCCGCCGGCTGCCCGCCGGCGATGATCTTTCGGGCAGCGGGTTGCCGGCGGTCAGGCGTCTGCCCGCTGCCTGGCGGTAATTCTCGGCCATCGGGTTGGTGGTGGGTACCCCTACCCCCACTTACCCCGCACTGACTCTTTTCATCAAATACGCGTCCCGAGATCCGTTGGGGAATCCGAAACCATGCTTAGACACTTTTAAACATAAATAACGACACCACGTAGGCAATTAATGGATCAAAAGCAAGAATCATATTGAACACATCTTAACATGACTTCAAATCATAAATAACGCCCGAACATGCGAATTCCCTCCCAAGTATAAATCAAGAACATCATAATACAAATTCCCAACCCAACATAGGACTCTAATCCCATCCAAATCATCAAAATCATATTTTATGTTTATCATCAAAAATCATCAGGATTCATCAAGAATCATTACATAAATATCAAGAACCTCTTTTTAACATCAAGATCATCAAGATCACACATAAAATCATCACATCAATCTGCAAGATAATATTACAAATATCACAAAGGAATTCATCAAGACACAAGCTTATAGAGGGAGCCAAAGAAGGAGAATATAGCAAGGAAAATAGGTTTTGTTGAGACATGGGTTACCTCATAGCCTTAATTAATTTCCATAGCTGTGAATGGGTCTTTCTTTAAGATTTCTTCATTCTTGATTTCTCCTATGGAAATTCTTGGGAATTCTTGTGTGGTAAAAGTTTTTGTGGTTTGAGTTCTAGGTGCCTCCTATGTCCCTATTTATATATCTAAGAGTCCCAATTAGGGTCTAAGTGGTATGGATTAGCTAATTCTATTTCCTATAGAACTAAGGGATTGGCTTTAGGGATAAGGACCCAAGGACTATGGTGGACCCTCTTTTAACTAATTAATGGATTTTAATTCCCCTTTTTAGGGTGAGTAATTAATTAATTAATTTGGTTCAGGGGTCGTAACACGGGGTGTTACACCAAAGCTCTTGGGTGCTTTATTCATCAACCTTTTGAAGGTCAGCTTGTATTTATTCCAGGCATCCTTTGGCTAATCTCGTACTACTTATATTCATTTTATCTTGTTCGTGGTAGTTGAATGTTTTGAGTACGTACGAGATATTATTCCTATTTAGCCTGTGAATTTTAATGGATGTATTTAGCCTAGAATTGGTGTATTTTATGATTTGTGGATGTATGACTCGTGTAGTAGCCTGAATCTGTGTACCCGAGATTTGTTATAGTGGAATTATTGGTGGTGGTGGTCCCGTGATTTTTCCCCGTGGTTTTGGGGTTTCCACGTAAATCTTGTGTTCCTTGTTTTGTTATTTATTTTTGGATATTGTGTATCATCTTGTGTTTGTGCTCCTGTCGGTTCTGTGATTTTTCGTTGTCACGGGAAGTGGGATTTTTCCCAACAAAGTGGTATCAAAGCCCTGGTTGTTGATTGGGTACATTTGACATGGAGACAAATATGAGTAATATGGTACGATTGAATGGTAAAAATTATCACATTTGGAAGGCCAAGATGAAGGATCTTCTATTTGTGAAGAAATTACATCTACCTGTGTTTGCAACTGCAAAGCCAGAAAGCATGTCAGACGAAGAATGGAACTTTGAGCACTAACAAGTTTGTGGTTATATTCGCCAATGGGTTGAAGATAATGTTCTGAATCACATTATCAATGAGACACACGCCAGAAGCCTGTGGGATAAACTTGAGACCCTGTATGCTTCCAAGTCATGAAATAACAAATTGTTTTTGCTAAAACAATTGATGAATCTAAGATACAGGGAAGGTACATTGATTAATGATCATTTCAATGATTTTCAGGGTGTTCTTGATCAGTTGTTTAGCATGGGAATCAAATTTGAGGATGAGGTACTTGGTCTTTGGTCGCTAAACACTCTACCTGATTCTTGGGAAACACTTCGGGTTTCTTTGACCAATTCTGCTCCCAACGGTGTTGTGACCATGGAGTATGTCAAAAGTGGTATCTTGAATGAAGAGTCAAGAAGAAGATCTCAAGACACCTCCACTTCTCAGTCAGATATTTTGGTTACGAATGATAGGGGGAGAAACAAACAAAGGGGTCTGAAGGGTAGAGATAAAAGCAGAAGTAAGTCAAGGTCATGGCACAAGGATGCTGAATGTCATTATTGTGGCAAGAAAGGACACACCAAGAAAAATTGCTTCAAGTTGAAAAGGGACAAGAAGCAAGACAAGAAAGATGATAACACCGATAACCAGGTTGCAACAGTTAAAGCAGATTTACTTGTTGCTTGTGATGAGAACGCCATCAACGTTGCATGCCACGAAACAACTTGGATTATGGATTCAGGTGCATCCTACCATGTTACACCAAGGAAGGAATTCTTTACTTCATATACTCCAGGTGACTATAGAGAGTTGAGAATGGGTGATGATGGTCAGGTGAAGGTGTTTGGTACCGGTATAGTTTGCCTTGAGACAAGCAATGGCACAAAGCTGGTACTTAAAAATATAAAGCATGCACCAGGTATCAAACTAAATCTCATTTCTACAGGAAAGCTTGATGATGATGGTTTCTGTTGTTTCTTTGGTGATGGACATTGGAAAATCACTAAAGGTTCGCTGGTTATTGCACGAGGTAACAAGTCTTCTAACTTATACTCTTTGCAAAACTTTATTTCTGGTGATTTAGTGAATGTGGCAGCAAAAGAATATGCATCAAAATTGTGGCAGCAAAAGAATGTGCATCAGAATTGTGGCATAAACGACTTGGCCACATGAGTGTGAAGGGGATTGATTGTCTTGCCAAGGAGATTAAGGTTTCAAGGGTAAAAGAAGCTAGGTTGGACAGATGTGTTCATTGCTTGGCGGGGCAACAGAAAAGAGTTTCTTTCATGAACAACCCTCATTCGAAGAGGTCAGAGCCACTTGAGTTGATACATTCTGATGTGTTTAGACCAATGAAGGTTAGGTCACTTGGAGGTGCGTCTTACTTTGTGACCTTTATTTATGATTGTTCTAGAAAACTCTGGGTCTACACTTTGAAACACAAAAGTGATGTGTTCAGTGTGTTTAAAGAGTTTCATGCTCTTGTTGAAAGACAGACAGGGAAGAAATTTAAGTGCATCCGTACTGATAATGGTGGTGAATACCGTGGCCCATTTGATGAATATTGCAGAATGCACGATATTAGACATCAGAAAACTCCTCCTAAGACTCCTTAGTTAAATGGCTTAGCAGAGAGGATGAACCAGACAATTATGGAGAAAGTTAGATGCATGCTTGATGATGCCAAGTTGCCTAGATCTTTTTGGGTTGAAGCAGTTTCCACAGCTGTTTATATTATCAATTTATCTCCCGTTATTGCTTCGAGTAATGAAGTTCCTGGCAAGGTTTGAGGTGGAAAGGAAGTTTCTTATGATCACCTTAGAGTCTTCGTTTGTAAGGCATTTGTGCATGTTCCAAGAGATGAGAGATCTAAGTTGGGCTCGAAGACCAGACAATGCATCTTTATTGGTTATGGCCTTGATGAATTTGGCTACAAGTTGTATGATCCAGTTGAGAAGAAGCTTGTGAGAAGCCGTGATGTTGTGTTCTTTGAAAATCAAGCCATTGAGGATGTTGATAAAGTGAGGAAGCCAGAATCTCATGACAATGGAAGTTTGGTTGACCTTGAGCCAGTTTCTAGCAAAGATACACATGATGTTGATGAGGTTCAGGAGAATGATCAGAATGGTGATCCTGTACCAGATTATCAGGATGATATAACTGATGTAGATGGTCATGTTGATGATGTTGTGCACCAGGAACATGAAGTTCCTCCGCCGGTTCCAGTTGATCCGCCTAGAAGATCTAACAGGGAGCGGAGACCATCTACTCGATACTCTTCCGATCAGTATGTGCTCTTAACTGATGAGGGAGAACCTGAGTCCTATGAAGAAGCCATGGAGAGTGAGCATAAGAGACAGTGGTTTGAGGCTATGCAGGATGAGATGAACTCCTTATATACAAATGATACCCTTGAGTTGGTGAGGGTACCAAAGAATAGGAAATCTTTGAAGAACAGGTGGGTCTACAGATTGAAACATGAAGAAAGCACTTCAGTTCCACGGTTCAAAGCTAGATTGGTGGTGAAGGGTTTCAGCCAGAAGAAAGGTATTGATTTTGATGAAATTTTATCTCCTGTTGTGAAATTTTCATCCATTAGAGTTGTGTTGGGTCTAGCAGCTCGTTTGAATTTAGAAACTGAGCAGATGGATGTGAAGACAGCTTTTCTCCATGGGGATTTAGATGAGGGGATATATATGGAGCAGCTTGAGGGTTTAAATGTTGAAGGGAAAGAGGATTATGTTTGCAGATTGAAGAAGAGTTTGTATGGTTTGAAGCATGCTCCGAGGCAGTGGTATAAAAAGTTTACTTCTGTTATGAGTAAGCATGGGTACAAGAAAACTTCTTCAGACCACTGTGTTTTTGTAAACAGATATTCTGATGATGACTTTGTTATATTGCTACTTTATGTTGATGATATGTTGATTGTTGGTCACAATGCCTCAAGGATTCAACAGTTGAAACAAGAGTTAAGTAAGTCATTTTCTATGCAGGACATGGGACCCGCAAAGCAAATTCTTGGGATGAAGATCATCCGTGACAGGCAGAATAAGAAACTGTTGTTATCTCAAGAGAAATATATAGAAAATGTACTTGAGAGATTTAATATGGATGAAGCTAAGTCAGTGAATACACCTCTTGGTATGCATTTCAAGTTGAGCAAGAAGCAATGTGCTTCTAGTGAGAAAGAGAATGAAGAAATGCAAAGAGTTCTTTATTCTTCAGCTGTTGGTAGTTTGATGTATGCGATGGTATGCATGAGACCAGATATTGCTCATGCAGTGGGTGTTGTTAGCAGATTTCTTTCAAATCCAGGGAAAGAACATTGGAAAGCTGTGAAGTGGGTTATGAGATATCTTCGGGGTACTTCAAGTCTGAGTTTGTGTTTTGGTACAGGGAAACACATCCTTACCGGGTACACTGATTCTGATATGGCAGGATACATTGATACTAGGAAATCTACTTCAGGCTATCTGATTACCTATGCAAGGGGGCAGTTTCATGGCAATCAAGATTGCAAAAGTGTATTGCTTTGTCTTCCATTGAAGCTGAGTTCATAGCATCTGTTGAGGCTAGTAAAGAAATGCTATGGATGAAGAAGTTTATTAAGGAGCTCGGGTTTGTTCAGGACAGGTATGCGCTCTATTGTGATAGTAAGAGTGCAGTTCATCTTGCAAAGAACTCTAACTTTCATTACAGGTCAAAACATATTGACATGAGATATCATTGGATTAGAGATATATTAGAATGCAAGATGCTTGAACTTGAAAAGATTCATACTGATGATAATGGGTCTGACATGATGACCAAATCGTTGCCAAGAGGAAAGTTTGAGGTATGTTGTTTTATCGCCGGGATGGCGGTATCTTCCACATAGTCGGGAGGAGGAGATTTGTTGGGTTGAGCTTCCCTCCTATGTGGTAAATAATTCATGTTTGGACCAAGCCAATTTTTATCCACTATATTTTTGAGCATTAATAATAATAATAATATTATTATTATTATTATTATTATTATTATTATTATTGGGGATATAAGGAGTTGGGGAGTAGAAGAGTTTTTCTCTTTAACGCATGCATATGAAGAGGTGAAAATTTAATTTCCATTCACTCTTCATTTGTCCCATGTTCATCCAGTAAAGCTATAAAAGGGAAAACAATCTACACACATATATGAGAGAAAAAGACAACTACACATACACTTTTCATTAGGCAGTTCGGCCGTAACAGAAAGAAAGAAACCATCTTCATTTGTTTCTTCATCTTTGACGCAAGTTCGGTGTTGCTTTGTCGTGAGTTTGCCTAAGCTCTTTGGTGCTTTATTCATCAACCTTTTGAAGGTCAGCTTGTATTTATTCCAGGCATCCTTTGGGTAATCTCGTACTACTTATATTCATTTTATCTTGTTCGTGGTAGTTGAATATTTTGAGTACGTACGAGATATTATTCCTATTTAGCCTATGAATTTTAAAGGATGTATTTGGCCTAGAATTGGTGTATTTTATGATTTGTGGATGTATGACTCGTGTGGTAGCCTGAACCTGTGTACCCGAGATTTGTTATAGTGGAACTGTTGGTGGTGGTGGTCCCGTGGTTTTTCCCCGTTGTTTTGGGTATTGTGTATCATCTTGTGTTTGTGCTCCTGTCGGTTCTGTGATTTTTCGTTGTCACAGGAAGTGGGATTTTTCCCAACAGTTACATTGATCTTGACGAAAACATTGGAGATTAAATTTTTACGTGAGGGTCGTGTTCCATGTTAACTCTGGTTGAGCGATGGGTGAATTACTGAGTCGGACAGTTGGAACATGGATCTCCGATCTCTTTCGGATAGCTGAAAGTGTGGTTCTTCGAGCTCTATAGCCCATCTATGGTGTTTTGCATATTGGGTACATACAAACTAGGGTATATATCACATCACTAGTGAGACAGTTCTCTTACTATCGGTTTGAACATATTTGGAGATACTGAATTAGATCCATCGTTGGTGGTTCTTTAGGCGTATATGTGATTGCATCAAACTGGGTAAACAAACCCTTGTGTTCATTTTCTTACCATTTGATTAGTTTACTACACAAATTTGAAATCTAGCTTAACGTCTGATTAAACC